TTCTCATCTTAGAGTTAGACCCTAATTTCTGATTCACCCTTTTGAGGTCGGTCGTTACCTTTCGACACTCACGTTTGAGATTGATCACTACCTTTAAATTCTCATTTTTAAATCAATCCCTAATTTTTTATTCACTTTTTGAGGTTGGTCCTTACCTTCCGACACTCTCTTTTGAGATTGATCCCTAACTTTTAATTCTCATTTTTGAATGAGTCCCTATTTTTTGATTCACTACTTTCGAGGTCGGTCCTTACCTTCCGACACTTTATTTTGTGATTGATCACTACCTTTCAATTCTCATTTTTGAATCAGTCCCATATCTCTGGTTCACCTTTTTGAGGTCGGTCCTTACATTTTGATGCTCTCTTTTGAGATTGATCACTACATTTCAATTCTCATTTTTGAATCAATCCCTAATTTATGATTCACCTTTTTGAGGTCAGTCCCTACCTTCCGACGCACTCTCTTCTGATTGATCCTTAACTATCAATCCTTATCCTGGGATCAGTCCTTAACTTCTGATTCCTCTCTTTTCATGATCGGTCCTTAACTTTCGACCATTAATATCAAAATCTCAAATCCCACCTCAGGGTCAGCATTTACATACTGATTTCCATCTACTATAAATTCCTGAAATCTCATAACTAAAAATCCACTTCCCAATCCCCAGCGAGAGTCCCTACTTCTTGACTTTGATTAAATATTCACCTGATATATTCCCCAGTGGAAGCAAATAGCACTCACAATCCCACACTCCTTCTATGTCTCTTGACTTAGGAGATTGTATTAGTTTTGTTGATCTCATCGGTCAACACCAATAAGCGCGGTGTGCTTTGCCCAGCACACCACACCTATTTGGGGTGCATTTGTTGACCTCATTTTTAGTTGTGGTCTAGATTTTCTTCTTTAATAGCCTAGGGTCTAGCCATAGTTCTTTCCTATTGAATATTCCTAGAAAACTAGAAAAGGAACCCTCACCATTAGAAATTTTAAACTCCTCTTTACCCAACTTGAAGCTCTATATATTGGTCCTAACCTCTAGCACTTAGTAGGTGGGGTCATTATAAGGGAGCTCAAGGAGAGTTCCCATAGGACTGTTGGACCTTAGGGTTGACCCTGAGTGTTGGTTTAGAGCTAAGGCACACACCAGCAATCACCTCACTCACAACCACTCACAAGCACAAACCAAAATTTATTGACTCTGATCCCTTAATCTTTTGGGATACTCATGTAGATGGTCCCCTAAACCCACTAGCTCTAGGCTAGGGTTTAGCTATGATCAGTACATAAAGGACCCAAAATCGGGTTTTCATTGTTCTGGGTTTAGCTATGATCAGTACATAAAGGACCCAAAACGGGGTTTCCATTGTTCTATGGCTTATTTATGATGGGTGGCACCCCAACTCCACCAAAATGCTCAACTTAGCCTTTTGTCTCTAAACTCTCAAATTACCTAGATACCCTTGGGACCCTAAATTTGGCCAAATTTCCAAAATTTACCCAAAAAATCAAAATTTGTTCAAAAGTCATTTCAAAACTTTTGAAAACACCTAAATTACCCAAAATCACCAAAAATTGCCAAATTACCAAAATGCCCCTACTTAGCCCAAAATTCCAAAAATTTCAAAAAATTCCAAAAATTCCCAAAATAATCCAAATAGTCCCAATTTCACTTTTCTCAACTACCACATAACTTAATTTGGCCTATTTGACCATCTTTGACCAAAACCCTCAAATTGCCTTTAAAGGCCCAATTCCCCAAATCCACTTCAAATGTCCATCAGATTGGTCCCAATCTCCCCTAATTTCAATCCTAAACCCAAATTCACATTTCATATGACCAATATAAATGAAATCCAAGCTCAATTGGTCCTAATTTGAGCCCAATTTTAATCTAAATCAAAACCCCTAATTTTGGCCCTTTGACTTGGTTCCACCAAATTGAACCCCATGGAGGACTCCTCCAATGGTCTCAATTTAGACCCTAAACTCTTAATAACATTCATAAACATCATACTTGACATTCAATTGGCCTTGGTTATGCCTTAATTTCATTTAATTTCAACCTAGGTCAAAAGCCCCAAATTTTGCCCCAAATTGATTGCCTTAGCTGATTTCCTTAGCCCCAAAATTTCCATTTCATTCCTTCATGAAAAATCTTTATAACATCTCCCTTGATCATTTGGACAATTAAATTGAGCCAAATTCCAAACCTAGCCCAATCTAGACCCAAGTCTAGCCCAACATGCCAAAATTTACTAAATTTCAAAAATCCTCCAAATTGACCTCCCAATTGAACTCAAAATTGTTTCAATCCTTCACCAAAATTGTTCATTACAATAATCTACAACAAATGAATCAATAAATTGGGTCAATTGACATGGCTAGACTATCCCAAACCCAAGTTTTTGCCATTTGAACCCACATTGAACCCATGCACTAAAATTAGCCTAACCACCCTAAAGTCACCAAATTAATGACTCCACAACCATAATGACTCCAAAGCCATTAGGTGGACCCTAGTGACCAAGCTAAACCCCATAAAACCACCTAAGCTAAGACATAGACCAAAGGTCCCCTAAATTAAGGGATTTTTATTCCATATTTGCTTAAGCCTTGGATATTTTTTGCCAAAACTAAATCTCAACTTATTTAATTGTTGTGACATATTCCCCTAGCTCACCTGACCATTTAGACACCTCCACTGGCCTGGTCGGCTGGCCTAGTGGTTGGAAAACACCAAAATCGTAAGCCACCTCCTCCAAATCAAACTCATTTCAAACCTAGAGGCCACCTCATCCAAATCAAATATTATAGCCTCTCTGCCCTCCACCTAAGCATCACTTTTCACCCCCTAATTGGCAATGATAGCCATCCCAAGCCCATTTTTATAAAAGCTCCCCTCCACGGCCATGGAAGGAGAGTTGAAATTTTCTCAGAGAGAGCCCTCCAAATTTCTCACAAAGACTCTTTGAGACCTCCTCAGCTCAAGCCAACCATTTTCCCCCACTAATTGCACTGTGGAAGCTCAATTTTGAGCTCCAACTTCTGCCTGAAACCATGACAGAGCTCAATACATGCTTTTGTATGGTTTCTTGTGAATTTCAATATTTTTTCTAACATTTGTTGTTGTTTCAATTATTTATTAATTTTTAAGTAGGTGGTGAGTTTATTTGTTGTTGTTTCAATTTGACTACATTATTGAATGGTCATTTTTTAAGTCAATGAGTAACCACAGCTAAGGTGGCGATAAATTCTAAGTATTTGACATTTAATATTTCATGTTAAAATTGAGTAAGAAAATGACGAAACTTTTACTTAACTTTAAAAAGAGTTTGAGAGCTTTTTAATTGAACTGTGTATTAACGAATTGTAGAGTGAGAAATTACACAAAACGTACAATGATTTAGAGCTAAAACTTTTGGAAAACCATCTTAATAGTCTCTTTGAATATCATCAAGGCATTTGATTGTGCCGCTTCTAGTTAGTATTGAAATTATTGAATGAAATTGCGTGACATGATCTTCATAATCAAACTTTCATATATATGCTTCTATAACAAGCATCTTCAACCTCGTAAGCGGCTAAGCATATTCTATACAAACAGAAGACACTTGTCTTGGTCTTTTTGCATTGACAAAATGAGAAAGTTTTGCTTCATCTTGTGTTATGCATGATCCATTAGTAGAGCTAAATGCATGAGCATAGGACAGCTGATGTTGTAAGTCCATACAATTATTTTTTAGAGGGGCCACATAGGATATATATATTTGTGTAAAGATGATCCGAGAGCCCTAAAATCATTTTTTATAAGGCAGTTTTTAATTAATTGAGTTCCTTGAAATAAAAATATTATGTTGCTCCTCTTACACCATTTGTTTCCTTCAACTTTTTATGTAGAGCATCACATAATATAATGCTATAGGCAGCATTCACTCTTACCACAACTTAGAAAATTTGAATTCACATTTGCTCATGCGTGATGCTAGAGCTTTACGAATAAGTTTGTTTAAACTAAAGAGAAAATTAGAAGAGAGAATGAATCCAGAGAGATATGCACGAGGATTCGCTATCACCAAAAATAAAACATGAAAAACTAGTAAATTACTTAATTTTGAGGAAAAAGCAACGATCCAATAATACTTGTAATCAAAAGAAAAAGCAACGATCCAATAAAGTATTGATAAGTTATTGGGGGGTTAAATAACCTCTCAATAATACCCAATAACTAAGTTATTGGAAAGTTATTGGGGGAGTACGCACGTAGAACCACATGCATACTCCGTCTCTCATGCGAGAGAGTGGCAAGTAGTGGTTTCACGTGAAAAAGAGTCGATGCTAAGTGGTTTCACACCGAATGAGCGCTTGCAAAGAAGAGTTTTGGAGCTCGAATTTCTGAGATTGCTCTTTTCACTGTCTGGGTGTTCAGGAAAGAAACGGAGAGGGAGAAGGGTTAACAGAGTGATGAAAATTAGAGTTAGGTGTGTAAATAGGAAACTATTAGGGTTGTATGTCCTTAAATCCCCCTAAAAAGAAACAAGCAAATAAATATAATGTTAAGAAAAACAGAAAAAAAACTATAGCCACAGAGAAGCGGATGGAACTTCCATTAAAAATGAAGAAAAGTTGCTTTCAATCGACATGCACTAGTCCATGGAAGTGCATCATCATCCATGTTTTAGGCACATTTTGATAAAATCGCCTTCAATAACCGTTTCTGTTGAATCTTACATGAGGAAGACGAGCACCACATATCTTTTCAACACAACAGAATTTAGTCACTTTCAGCTTCCTTAAGTAGCAAGAATACACCATCGCATTCAGGAGATCTTTGTTCGGCATAAAAAACATTTTCTACAATGATTGTGGAGAACAAGAGACGAAACAGTTGGTTCCAGGTATAAAGGAAACAAGCCAGTTCGCCAAACAAATCAAAACACCATTTGCTGATAAAAATCATAGAGTTCACACCCAGTACATTCTGATATTGATTCCATGGCTTTCTACAAATGCCTTGCTTTTATCAAATATTAAAATTTAGCAGACATATATAGATAAAATTCACAAGGTAAAAAATCAAAACATGTGAGTTTTAAAGGCAAGGTAAGAAGATATCTAAGCTTCAGTTTCATTCTTGTAAATAGAAGACAACTTATACTCCTCAAGCCTATAAAATAAGGATAGCAATTTGGACAGCCAAGAATAATCTAACAGACTAAAGAAGTCGTCCATCCACTGAATAATTGTTCTATTTGAGGGAAAAAAAAGGCACCGCATACAAGCAAAAATTTCCAGGTTCTTGAGGATTTGAGCATTGAATGAATGACGTACCGCAACTCCTATCTTGAGTGGATATCAATAGAATACGATAATGAATAATGAATTCCAATTTGGGACTGTCATTTTTTACATTTTACAGTCATACAAGTTCTGCAACTCTTCTAGAGTGTTCTCCCATATGTATTGTTCTATTATTTCCAGAAGCAACAAAACCTATGGTTGGTAGGTTGGAATCTGTTACAGATTCAATCTCAATAAAGCTGAAATCAACAGTACCTGAACGCTTCAGACTAAATATGAAGACAAAAATAATCCACCCAAGCATTGTGACTGCCCAATAATTATTCATTCCCTGAATCAAACCCCATCCAATAGAATAACCAACAATAATTCCAGATAAATGACCAACAAAACTCGCTTGTGGAACGATAATGGACGTGAAGATCAATGACTCAAAAGGGGCAAAGCTTATCGGCAGTGACAGTACTCCAAAGAGATTTAATTTCGTTGAAGGCTGCTTCACTGCAAGTATGGTCATCCACCCAAACACAACACATGAATAGCCAACAGCAGTCACTCTCCTGAAATACTCCAGCTTAAACTTCTGAATCAGAATATGATATGCCCCTAAAACCAGAAGCCCGGATAAAATCAATAAAACCAAAGTATACATGAGATAGAACTCTACACCAAGACCAATGTGTCCCAACTGCTCTACAACTCCAAGGCTCCAAAGCGCGTTCATGTTGAAGACAAGATGAAGCACACTGACATGTGAGAAAGCAGATGTAATAACCCTCCAGTATTGCCCTTCAATGGCAGAATCATAACTCAATCCCACCTGAGAGTATCCAATGTTTTTCTTTTGAATAAAGAACCAAATTGCTGAACAAATTCCTATAATACAACTGCTTGCAGGTTTTTGACAAACTTCATAGATAAGCGGCTTTCCCATTGCTGTTTCGTGGATTGAAAACTGTGGAAGATGATTGCTTGAGTATGGACAGAGTCTTATAGACTAAATCTGCCACCTTGAGAACTACCAAAAAGTAAGAAAAAACACTCACTTAAAACGATATAGAAACTGCAATGACAGCAATGCAAGAATGAAAATGGTGTTCCTACAACGTTCCAAGAAAATTTTAAAATTATAATCATTCTGCTGCCGAACTCATAGTTCAAGCACAGCTATAATGTGTTGGCACTAAAAGATATGAGAGAGAGAAAAATTGATTCGACTTATTTTATGTGTATTGCACTCATGTCAATTTAACATTTTCTTTTTTCAGTGTTGCATTGCTCAACTTTAAATAAACAATCACGAAGTGTCATATGTTCAAATGTATGGTGCTTCCAAGATAGGCATTGTCTCCAGGGTTGAATTGTCATCAATCCTCGACACACAAATTTTGGGTCAGTGCAAATGCACACACAACAAAGCCTTGCAACATTATCGAAGTCCAATGCACGAGAATCAAATACCAGAACAGCAGGTTCAATTCAGATACTTCAAAACAGTGTCATTGTTGTTGAATACTGGATTGTCCTCTGTGAAACATGCCTCAAGAGTTAGAGCCGGGAAAAGGAGGATGAGAGAAAAAATAAAGTAATTGAGGAAGCCCCTGCAAATGAATGGAGAGAGCTCTCTTTATTTGTCCCTTTGCCTCCTATTTATAGAGGCATATTTGTACAAATACAGAAAAGAGGGAATGGTTATGGAAACAATTTTTAATGCAATTTAATCGTGAGGATTTGTTATTAAATCTATATTACAATTTGAATTTAAACGTGGTGGTAAACAGCTGGTTGACGCACTTGAATTCGGTTGACCGAGGCGATCTTGTCTGCCGAAGTAAATGGTCGGTCAGTCAGTCAATGTGTTGCGGTTAGTCGCCCTTTTGAAAAATTTAAGTTGCCCTGGACAATAGGCAGGCCCATAGGTTGAATCCCTCGTAATGTTGTGTCGGGTAGCTCCAATTGAGCTGTAGGCCTTCGAATGGTCGACTTGGATCACGTTCTTGTGGCTCAATGCCCCGATTGTCCTATCATCGTTCTGAGCCGCTCGATTGCTTTGAGGTTCGTGTGAAAGATTTATTAGTTCCTCGATGCCGCTCGATTGCTTTGAGGTTCGTGTGAAAGATTTATTAGTTCCTCGATTGCATACATATTAGTTCCTCGATTTTTCTTGCTTCTTGACAACGACAGCTACGATAATGATAGGAAAATTATTAATAACCAGCGGCACTAAAATTAAGAAAATTGATTTGGTGACTAACTTCCCTTCTGGAATTTGTGTTCAGCGCACTCAATAAATAGATTCGTGGGTTTGCCATTCCGTTATCATTATTTTCTCCAAGACAACTGAGTTGCGCCATGACTGATAGTTCGGGTTGGATCACCGTGTACCCCAAAATTCTAGCTAAAGCGGGCTATCGTGTCTCGGACCCTGAAAAGAAGAAAAAAATTAAGAGGGAAATGTGTCCGGGATCTAAGCCTGTGTCGACGGATCAGATTGATTCGTTCAGGAATCCTGAGAGGTGAATGCCAAAACTCCCTCATAAGGAGGCCATGGTCCCTAAGCCTAACATGGATTTAAGCATCGGGGGTCAATAGGCTCTTTTGCTATGGATGTTGAGGCGAGCGGAAGAGAGCAGGAGTGGCGATCATGGTCCTTCCTCAGCCGCTACTGCAGGAAGGTGGGGACACCTCAACAAAAGGAGGAGACAAGCCCTTTAGGACACTTTCTTCCATATATCGATTTATGGATATGTAAGACCTTTCTTCTTCCGTTGATGGTTCTCAAAAAAAAAATTGTTTTCATAATTCCAATGCAAATGAATCGATCGGGTCGGAGAATCACCAGGACGGTGGGTCGTTGAAGGACGTTGAGGAGTTTGTCCCTATTGTTGTGGTCGGTCTGCGGGATGAATATGCAAGGCTGCTGCCGGCCATTAGCTTGGAGGGGCGTCGGTTGCATGACCCTTTGTCGGTTACCGACTCTAAAGAGGAATGGACGGAGTTGTGGCAGCCCTCCTCTAGAGCCATGGAGCAGCGAGCAGAAGGGATAAGGCCCATGACGGTGTTGGTTGGTTCTTCGGAGGGAGTGGCTGGAGGTTCGACTCTGAACCCAGTACAGGAGCCGTCAGTGCCCCTAGCTCCTACGGACTCAAAGGTGTCAGCCCTGCGGGTGGAGGTTGCCTCCTTGCTAAGCGAGCTAGCTGAGGCATTGTGCGAACATGGAGCGTTTTGCGAGTCGACTGACTAGGGCAAGTTCCTTGACAAGGCTGGTAGGCTGGATCAGACTAGTCTAGGCGGATAGATGGTCCTCCAAAATAATGTTATGTCCCGATGTTGACCTCATTTTTAGTGAGGTCTAGTCTTTCTCTGAGGATTTAGGATCTAGCCTTAGGGGTCTCCCGGCGACTATCTTAGAGTCTTAGAAATGTGACCCGCCTCGTTTTAGGAGTTCGACCTACTTCCGTCCCCTTTTGGAGCTTCGCGTGTGTGGTATCGACTTCTAGCACTTAGAAGGATGAAACCGACATGAGGAA